CCACCATGTCTGGCTAATTTTTTTTCTATATATTTTTAGCTGTCCAATTAATTTCTTTCTATTTTTAGTAGAGACGGGGTCTCGCTCTTGCTCAGGCTGGTTTGGAACTCCTGACCTTGAGCGATCTGCCCGCCTCGGCCTCCCAGAGTGCTAGGATTACAGGCGTGAGCCACCGCGCCCGGCCAATTCATAGCAATTTAAATTCATGTTCCACAAGGACATGAAAAATTTAGTCATTACAATAACAAAGTCCTGTGACATTTGAATTTGGGATGTCGTGCAGATCAGCAGAGTCAAGAACTTTTATAAATGTTACAATGAGTTTCTACCTTTCAATTTAATAAACTTTCCAGTTGGTCAACTTATCCTTTTTGTTTTCCAATTAGTCTTTCTTGTCTTGATCCAGGAGTTTTCTTCTTGAGAATGAGGGAGAGGGATGCAGTTAATTTTCCAGATAGTTTGTAACATAGAGTAAAACAAAAGTGTGCTCCATGTTATAGATGCCTGAGTACTTTTTAAGCTGGCATGCAAATGTGCTGTGCATCCACTGCAGTTTCCTTCAGTGCCACATGAATCATGTTTCATAATAAATAATTACAATTGGGTCACCTCGATTTGGCTGCTATTTGCAGAAAGAATCCAGACTCACCCTTGCAGGGTGAAACAAAAACATGCTTTATAATTCAAATGGCTGAGAATTTCTCTGGTAGTCAACATTTTACATACAAATACATTGACCTTCCCCAAATGCATGTTTAATTGCCCAGGATTTGTGGACATAAATATGAAAACTTTCATTTGGTGGAAGACAAACTGACAAACCATAACATGCCCGCATGGGCAGGATCTGAGCGTTTGTGGGTACACTCATGGGGCGGGCATGTGTAGACTCACACGTGAAAACATTCTTTCAAACTCCCTATAATCCTCCCACTTTCTCTTCGCAAAAGACAGAAAATCATCAATAAAACAAGCAATGGTGTACTTCACTGGCAATATTAATACATGGGAGACATAGGTGCATCTAATTTTCATAAAATTCTTAACGCTTCGGATGTAAAAGATTGAGAATTCAAAGTGCATATAAAAACTGTCATGTCAAGAAATGCATTAGGCAAAATAATTTGCTATAAATGCTGTAGATAGTTCAGTGAAAATAATTTTTGGTTAATCGATTATTGGGGGTGCTGGCCCTTGGATGTGTCGCTAAATTCATGATTTGCTATGTATGAAGAGCTGGTTTTTGGTCATTGCCTCAGTGCTGGTGCATGGTGGACGTGCAATGATATTTGTAGAATGAGTGATTCGGATCCCACCACGTGCTCAGAGTGGCCTTCGTAGACACTCCCTCGCAGGCCGTTTGAACCACGGCACCCCTCGCAGGGCCCACGTGTGCCAAGGCAGGGGCAGGACAGAGCTTGGCTGACGTTCTCAGCCCTGGCGGGTTGGGTGCTCCGAGTGCTGCAGGACCCGGTGTCAGAATGGTGGGTTGAAAAGTGCAGCCCAGTCATCCAAACCTCTGAAAACAATAACATCAATAACAAACAGCCCTAACCTGGCTTGTGACTGTGAAATCCTAGCTGAAGGAAAATGCAATTTCATTTTTCCTGGCCGGGTTTTCTTTATTCAGTTTTGATTTCCTTGGACAAATTTGTTAGAATGTTTAACAAATCGTTCAAAGGGGAAAAATTGGAATATGCTTTAACCAACGATCATGTACCTTGTTTAAAAGAGCATGAGACTAAATATAGAGGAGATGCAAAATATATTTTAAAATGGGATTTCGGTTCTAAAAGATTTTCTGCTCCATTGGTGGAGACAAAGCGAATGCACGTAAAATATCATGTTGGAAATGGCACTGTTTTTAGGTTTTTAAGTTCTGAGCCTTCGGCTTCCTTTCTCCTTACTGACTCTACCTTTAGTCTCAGGCCACAGGAGCAGCAGAACACATCCCTGGCCCGTCACCTTCACCTGTGTGGGGCTGTTCTGCTTTGCTTCCACTGATGGCCACCGGAGTGGCACGTGGTGTCAGTCATTTGGCCCTGGTCTACTGGAGCTCACCTGGGTGAGGGACGTGGCTAGGTGGTAGGCATTTACATGGGCCCTGTTTGATGCAGATTAAGGAAAGGGATTTGAAAGGAATTCTCTTGTGAAGTCACTGCCCAATAACTTAACAGGGTCAAGGAAATGCAACGGAATGACCTGTCTGATGCTGCCATTGAACTTGGCCTTGGTACATTTGGGCTCTGCCATAAATGAGCTATGTGCTTGTGTGCCAGTCACTTCACTGAGACTCAGTTTCCTCATCTGTGGGTGGAGACCGTTACGAACATCTGCTTCAGTATCAGTCAGTGTCCCAGCAGGGAAACCGATGGCACACTCCTCGACAGAAGGGACTTTAACGAAAGGTATCCTCTAGGGATGTGGGCAGGGTCACAGAACTGACAGAAGATGGTACAGCTCCCTGGGACCAGCAAGCGTGGGGCATCTTGTCCACCCCTAGGCCAAAGTCACAGGAAAAGGGACCTGTTCACATCGACAGCTGCAGCTGTCGGGGAGGGGCTGCCCAACACAGCCCCTTCCAAATTGGGGCCTGGGAGGGACAGAGCCTGGGAGACCAGTACTTTGCCCCAGTGGTGTATAGGAGCCTATTGAGCATGTCTCTTCCCAACTCCATGTTCAGCAATAGTATTAGCTTGAAATACACCACGACAGAAGTATTCACACCACACAGAAATTGGTAAATGCCACGACAAATCAGGCTTTTCCCTGAGAGCAGGCTATAAACCATTCGCCAGCACACCCCTGCCTTGGCCTATCTCCTTCTGCTCTTCCTATTCCCTGGGGCAGGGATATGGTCCTTACAGGTCAGACTCCAGGGTGCAGAACAGGGCGGGGACGGATGGAGAATGAAGGGGGCGGGACACGCACGAAAACGAAACAGCCGGCACATCTCTTAGAGTTGGTGTGAAAGTTACACAAAACAATGCATGTAAAAAGTACTCAATAAACATTGACGTGCTTTTTCTACGTGTCCTTCCTTATTTTTGCAAAGTACATTAGAGTTTACAAAGTGTTTTGTAGGGGCCTGAGTGACCACAGTGCTGAGAAGCGGACGGCATGCTCCCTCCTCTGTGAGAAAACACAGAAAAACGAGAGAAAAAGAAAAGAAAACACACAAGAGGGGCACAGACACGGGGGGTCCCCTGAGATACGCGCTCTGTCTGTTCCAGGGTTACAAAACCTTCACCTGGACAATGACCCCACAGGACAAAGCGTATTTTGCAGCCCCCATTCCAGCAAGGTGTGGCCACGTGGCTCAAGCTCTGGCCCAGGAGGGGAAGTGCTTCCAGAACCTTCCTTAGAAGCTGCTGAGCCAACAACAAGAGAGTGTCAACACGCAAGGGGTTGGGATTGGTCTGACGACATACATGGGGACACGCCCTCTCCTCACTACTTTCCCCCCTCCACCCTGCTGCCTGCTGCCCGGAATGCGGATGCCACCTCTGGGGCCCTCTGAGTGTGACAGGTGGGAGGGAGGCTCCTCTCTGAGGACCCTGGGCAGCAGGGCTGTCACATGGAGGCGGGACGACCTCCTCCCAGACGTCGTTTACTAGGAGAGAATACATGTCTACTGTGTTTAAGCCCCTGTTATTTTGAGTTTCCGTCCCAGCAGAACTTGATCCTAATCAAAACAGCAAGCCTGGGCAAGGCTGCGAGGCGACAGGGCCCTCTTGCGCCGCTGCGGGGAGTGCATGCTTGCGCCGCGGCGCTGGGGAGCAGACGGCAGCGCCAGGTAAGGTGGAAGATGCTCCGCGTGTCGGCTGCAGCGGGTTTGTCAGCAGGCAGCAGAACCCCAGGGAGTGTTCACGCATACATGGCGGGACTGCCCGTCTAGAGCTGGTGCGGCGGCCCCCAGCGCCCCAGGAGGCTGCCCACCAGCTCTTCCCCCTCTCTCCTTGGCACGCGGCTGTTGGCGTCACAGTGGCGAGAGGACTGTTGCACCTCTGGCCCCACATCTGGCAGCCTTCCTCTCTGCACCAGCAGTGCTGGCAGAGGCTGAGGTCCCGTGTCACTGCCACTGCGACTCGTTAGAGCACTCAGGGAGAAGGCTGCGGGCGGAGGGGGTCAGGACACAATTTCTTCGCAAAAGGGAGACCTGGGCGGATTCTCCTGTGCATGCGTACTGTCATCCTCGTGCGGAAATAGCCAAGAGAACTGGCAAGACACGGCACTAAAGCAAGGAGAGAGAAAGCGAGAAAAGCAGAAAGCACGCCACGGAGTAGCAGGGAGGCGGGACTTGCGTGTGCGGGCCCAGAGAGCAAGGCCAGATTTCAGGAGCAGCCTTTGTAGCCTCAGGGAGGCCAGGTGGCCTTTGGAAAGGCTCGTGAGCTCTGGAGCTGTCCCATGACCTTGGCGTGACTTCTGGCACCCGTCCGTTCACTGTGTGACCCTCGCTTCCTCCTTTGTAAACGTCGAAGGCTGTCACGGAGGAAAAGCAAAACAGGTGAAAGTGTTTAGCTGAGCACAGCGCCTGGCATATGACAGTGACTCATGGCTGTCACTTCCTCGTGGCCCCAGTGCTGTGTCAGGCAGGTCAGAGTGGCTGTGAGCGAGTCCCACGGCTGGGTCTGAGCAGGGACACAGCGGCTCCCGTGAAGGGACGGCAGGAGGCTCGGGTCCCAGGTGCAGCCGTGCTACTGATGCGGACAAGGTCACCCCGAGCCGGGGACTGAGTCTACTTCTCTAAAAAGTAAGAGGTTGGGACAGATGGTTACCATGGGCACATCTAACTCATATATTATTGGTTTGAGGGCCTAGAGGGCACGGAGAGTTTGCCGTCTCCCCAAGATTGTCTTGTCCTCCCCCGCCTGACCTGATCACAGGGCTTCCTCAGCTGGGACCTGGCGGCTCTTTGCCTCATACCTTGCGGAGCCGCAGCTGCAGGGAGCCAGGGGCAGGGAGGCTCCCCACCCATTGTGATGCGTGAGCGGCCACTCCGTGGCAACAATGGACACCCTGCCACCCGGCTCCCGGCTCCTGGAAAAGGCTGAGAAGCAAAGATAAGGACCGAGGGGGGGGGGAGTAGTGGCTTCCAGATGTGCAGGGCTGACGCCATGGAGAGGTGAGGGTGCCCAGCTCAGCCCACTTCGGCTTCCTGGAGAGAATGGCCAAAGGGAGGCGCTTCAACCCACCCCTAGACAAGGACGGAAGATGGGTAAGGAAGACGGAGCCCTGCATCCCTTTCTCATGCCATGTGGGTGTGGTCAGGGGCACAGCACTGGGTTCAGATCCCGCTTCTGCTACTTACTGCAGCATGACCTTTGACAAATCACTTCACCTGGCCTCAGTGCCTTCATCTGTGAAATGGGAATCTCCTAACATTCTCGGGGGAATTGAATGATATAATGCATGTCAAATGCTCAGCACACTAGAACCTTGTAACTGTCCACTAGGCAGTGACTGCTGCCGTCTGTCCTTTATCCTTTGTCCATGACATCTGTCTTCTAATGTCCTATGTGATCTGCACTATGCGCATCACTCGTCTCCCCTTGCTAGAACATCCGCTCCGTGTCCTTTTCACTTACGGACACATCTTCAATGCCTAGAACGGAACCCAGAGCGTAGGAGGCACTCGACATCATGTTCGCTGAAGGAATTAGCCCTATACTGGAAATTGCTAAACAAATTCCTGTTGGCTCGCGGTCTCTTGCCCTTAGTGCCACCAGACTGTGAAAGAAGATTCTAGGAACGCGCCGTCCACTCATCTCGATCATTTGAAGACTTCCCTTTCCGGCTTCACGCTCTTCGCTAGACCTTTCTCTTTTGACGTCCTCACATGCCCAGTGGGACTCATCGCTGTTCTGCCGTCTTCCAGAAACATTTGGGTCACCGCTAAGCGTGGGGTCCTAGCCTTGTCGGTGCAAGCGCTTCTCTTGTTTGCTCTTTAACATGTGTATTCCATGTGCTGACAGGTCTTTTCCATTTCTAGTTTCTGCAATCCATTCACAGAAAGGCCAAGGGGGAATCACAGCGGTGGACTGTTGCCTGCGTCCTCCCCACACTCACAGTGAGGGACACAGAAAGACCTGGTGTCAACTTATTTTAGGGCAGCACCAGGTAGAAAACTGTTTTAGAAATGTTGTTTGTTTAAAAGAAAAAATGGAAAAGATTTCAGCACGTTTAGGTCTGAAGGCTTTAAAAAATTGACCGACTTACCCACTTGCACATAACCTTGGCTAAATAGGTTAGTTTTTCTAAATCTTAGTTTCTTTTTGTGCAGAATGTGAGCATAGCGTCCCAAGGGTACAGGGCTATTGTGGGGATCAATGACACATTCACAAGTGCTCAGTATAATGCATGAGCACACAGTAACCCCTCAATTCTTGCTAACTAGAACACGTGCATGTATGTATATATATATTTATGTATATACACATAATGTATACCGTGTTTCGTTCCACAAAAATTTAATGTAATATATGAAAAATATACACAATAAAATAGTAAAAATAGTATAAATGAAATAAAAATTCATAACCGGTTTAAATATACTTTACAATAAGAGGCTAAGACTGGGAAAATATATAACATAGATACATATGCCATAACAGTCCATGCTGTAGATATCTGAGCACCAAATTTGACTCTGAGTACCCTGGCAGTCAAAGTAAAATAAGAAATAGTGTCAACTACATAATGCTAATTGCCCATGAAGAGGAAAACATTTTTCTCAGACTTAGTAGCCTCCCCTCTATCACCCTTTTATTAGTTAGGATTGTGTTTGTCTGCATATTATAAAAGACTGATTCCAGTGTCTTAACCAAATAGGGGTTTATATTTCTCAAGTAACAGTAAAATCCAGAGGTAGGCAGGCCAGGGCTGGGACAGCTGCTCAGGGAGTCATCAGAGGCCCAGGTGCTTTTCAGCCTGCTGTTCTGCCCTCCTTGGGGTGGGGGGCTTCCACCTCTAGGCAGTGGGTCCACAACCTAGGCAGAAAAATAAGGGGAAGGTCAAAGGGTGAAAAGACAGAAGGCACTTGTCACCTGAGCCTGCCCCTTTTTATTTCCCAGGAGCCCTGCCCTGCAGACTTCCGCTCCTATATCACTGGGTCACATGGCCAATTTAGCTGCAAGGGAGTCTGGGGAGGTACGTTCTAACCGGCACATTGCCACTCCCAAGTCAGGTTCTGTTGTAAGGGACAAAGCGAGAATCGTCATCTCATAGATAGACATTCCTTTCATCCTCCTACCAAGAGCCCAGGCATGTAACCCAGCGCCCGGGTTTTAGGAGGACTGCCCCTGCCCCCACCCTACCAGGGTTTGGCTCGAGCCCTTGGCATGAATCCTTTCTGCTGTCAGCACCTCAGAGCATAAAAGGAATAGTGCTGATCATGAAGTTTCCAAAGTAACTTGTGGATGAGTTGGGGAAATTAAAGAAATTTTTGGCTTTGAGTCAGCAGCAGCCCATTTGGCAGGACAGTAATTGCCACATTAGAGGTGACAGTCATTTTGCAGTTGACCTTGCTGGTTGTAATCTGGCTGTCGCCGGGTAGGAAGGACTTTTTCCACACACTTTCACCTTCCCATTTAATGTTTCAGTCATTGAGTGATTGAATGCAGCACCAATTTCACCGCCAACTAGTTAAAAAGCTATATTTCACGGCTACAATATCTAACAGAAGGGTTTATTTCACAGCTATCATGTTATAGCCATTAAATATATATTTTAAAGGAGTGAAATTAAAATGCTAGAACCATTTTTTTTTTACAGCGATTTAGTTCACAGACTTGCAGAATACAAATGAACCCAAGGCAGTTGTCATTTAACTGGTGAGAGCCACTGTTCTCGACGTTAGAACAGCTTCCCCCACCCTCGGCCTGAGTTTGCCACAGCTGCCCAGAGAGAAGCGGAGACTCCATCAGACCAGAGTGAGGGCGAAGGGAAAGGCTACCAGCCTGAAGGCCCTTTGTATCATTTATATTTCCCTCTAAGAAATAATTGTTTGAAAACATTTAAAAAATAGAATACAGAATGAATTAGAAATACATAGGTTGACTTGGAAAAACAATTCTAGATTATATTGTTAAGTGAGAAAAGCAAGGTGCAAAGCACTGTGTATAACATAATCCAATTTTTGTAAAGCAATCTAAGTCCTCTTGCGTGTACAGGTGTTTGTATGGGGTCAGATGAGAGCTCAGCATGATACTGTGACCTTGGGTGGCAGTGAGGGTGACATGGGGGGGGAGGAAGGAGGCCACCGAAAGTTACTGCTAATTGACAAGGTATTCATAATTTTTGGGAATTACATTTATAATGCGCTGCCACGTATGCAAAACTGCACATACAGAGGGCTGTACATTCATATGAGGATGTATGAAAAGGATGGTCACTAAAGAGTTAAGGGGAAAGCATGATAGGATTTCAGGAGATTTTTACTTCCCTCCTTAACGCTTTTCTTTAAGTTTTTTTTAAGCCAGGAGTATATAGTGCCATTCTAATCAGAAACAAATACGTTTATTTTTGTTGTGGAAAAAGAGACAATGTAATATCTGCATTTGATTAAGAAACATCGAACTAGTGCAAAATGATGGTCAGTGGAAAGAAAGTCCCCTCCATCCTTCCTCCCCTCTGATACCTGCCTTAGAGGGGACCCTGTGGCCAGTTTCCGGAGAGTCTATGCTCATGAAGCCGGGCTGGTTGGCGTGGCTGTTTCATGGCCTTTGACGCCCATTCCTACTCTCCTCGCCCCACACGGAGCCATCCCAGTGGGCGTGATGGGAGTTCTTTCATTCGGAGTGCTCTTGCACATCATGTAGGGCTGTTTTGAGTGCCTGGATGACGTAGTTACATAAATGGTACTGGGTTATGGATGTCATTCTGTTTCTTTCTTCCTTTTCTCCACTCAGCATAGCATTTCAGAGGTCTAGCCACTGCTATGTGTCATCTAGCCCGTTGTTTCTCAGAGAATTCCCCACCGTCCTGCACAGAACGCACCACTAAGCATCCGACATACGTAACGTAAGACCCCCCCCCCACACACACACACAGCTTGGTACAGAAATGGCAACCAACTGAACACACTCTTGTGCAGACACTAACCAAAAGCCACCTGAATCTACTGTTATATCGTGACTTGAGGAGGACTCAAGAGAGAGAAGAGCAGTGCTGGCTCATGTCATTAGACTCTAGAAGAGAAGGAAGGAGTACCAGCCTAACGTGACAGCAATGGGTTTGGGGGCGAGGGAGCAAACAGCTGTGAGCAACACCAGAACCTGCCAATGGCAGGTGAGCACTACCAGATTGTGCACGTTTCCTCTCTTGCTCAAATCTACCAGATCAGGTAGCTATTATTATTCCCATTTTACAGACAGGGAAACTGAGGCTTGGAAAAGTTAAGTCTCTTGCTCACCGGCTCACCTAGTAGGAGAGAGAGCTGGGTCTGGACTCAGGCCCTCTGACTCTACAGCCTGTGTCCCGACCACATTGTGATGCTGGGAGTTTTCACCAAGAGTCAGGTCTCGTTCTTTGCTTATTTTAATTTCCACTCATTTTCTTCTCCTAGAGAGCCCTGCTTGAGAGGTCACTTTGTTGGGCTGGCCTTTAAGAGGTTCCATTCACACACGTAAGCTGGGTTGAGCTGCTGTGGCCATCAAGTGCCAGCCTCATCCCCTCCAGGAAGGAAGGACTCAGTGCTCCAGCTGCAGACAGTGTGGCCCTGCCCGTCCACCCCTAGGGATCCCTTGGCTGAAGACGGCTGCCTTCCCAAGGCCACCCCGTCTTCCTGGGGATCAGTCTTCCAACGACTGATCGATTAGGGTGTGCAGAGGCCGGGTCCCCTTGCCCTGCCTCTGAAGGGGCCACCCCACATCCAGAGCTCTCTGCAGGGTCAACTGAGGCCCTGGCCTGGACCTCCTCCCTCTGCTCAGTCCTGTTTCCTCCCCACCCTTTTGTAGGGAGATCGCAAGGGCACCCCCGAATAATCCTCCCTGTCCTCACTTTTCTTGCTTCACACCCTTTACCTACTCGTTCTTTGCCCGCCCTCTACCATCCCACATTCCCAGTGGAGAGCCAGCTGGGACCATCGCTGCTCCCCTGCCCCCCGTCTCAGGGCCCGCCTCACACCTACATTGCCGGAAGTCAGCTCACCCCATGGACGTGGGTTGGATCCTAGGCGCCAAGTACCGCCAAGTACCGGAGCCCCCTGACCAGAGGAGCCTCTCAGATAACACATTCCTGTCTGCTCAGAGTAGCCGCTCACTCTCGGAGGGCCGCACCCTCCTTCCCGGGCTGCGGACACACAGCCAGGCTCCAGCGCAGCAGGGGTGGCTCCCCGTAACTTGAAACGACCAGCGGTGATGGCTCTGGGCCATTACAATGTTTTTTGTCTTGGAAAGAATACTTGAAAATTGCAAAAATTATGCCATTTCCATTGCATGCCAGAAGCACCCAAATTGCATTTTAATCACTACACAGAGGAAGCCCTGATACTTGGCCTATAGAGCCAGATGTGTCTGGTTTTAATCAAGCCTTGTGCTGTTTTTCCAGTTCCCCCACATTGGGCTAACGCGAAGGATACCAGAATCCATCACAAGTGCTACGTTAAAAGAGCCCCAGAATCCACGTTTGTCTCGCCAAGTGACGGAGAAGCTACCGCCAATATACAAAATCCGGGAGAAGGTGAGTGCAGAGCTCTGGCCCCAGCTACACACTCCTGGGGCTCCCTGAGGGCAGGGCACCACTGGCATCTGGGGCCAGACAGTTCTTCCTTGTAAGAGGCTGCTCATTTTGCACCCCAACCTCTTAGCCTGGTACTACTCTCTGAGGAGCTGCCTCTGAGTCCAGTCAAGTCAGTCTGTCGATGCACAAGAGGCAACGGCTCTGGTTACAGCTCACAGTTCGTTCTGCCTCCCCTGCTGGTGCATGAGCAACTTCAGGGGCGCTCAAGTGCGGGAGGAGAAGCAGGTGTTGACTTCACACCTGCCAGACTCACTGGGCCAGGGCTCTGTCTTCTGGGATCCTTATTGGCCAGATGAAGACGTTGGTCTGCACAGCCTCAAAAGCCGTCCCCAGGTTTTGGCTCCATGAGCCCACACACTTTTCCATTCTTGCCTCCAAATAAGGTGTTTTGAAAGAGAATTTTTATGGTTTTCAGAACGCTGGCAGTGAGGCTGGGTTTCCAAGCCCTAAGCTGGCGTGCACACGTGCGTCCTCACGGCCCTGTGCTCTTTGCTCCGTCTCTGGCGACGGGTTTAACGGTCTTACTTGGAGGTCGCCTGGCCTCGTCCGTCTTCCTTCCGCACCACTGCACCCCGGTTCTGAGAGCACCCTGCAGCTCTGACGTGCGCCCCCTCGTCTCCGCCCCTGCTCTCTTCCAGCAAGCCGTCAACAACAGCTTCCCCTTCTCCGCTCACGACAATCGGCACAGTCTCGAGAACTCCGGCTACTACGTGGACTCCGTGAGTATTCCCTTCCACCTTCCTAACAACGCGGGAGCCACGTCAGGGCTCCAGGTTTTCGGGGGCGTGTTGAAGATAGAGGACTGACCTTAACGCTGGAGCAAGGTCAACACCAAGCAATGTCTTAAACTAGACTCATAACAGGTTACAAAAAAAAAAAAAAAATTGCTGGAGGGTACGTTCCATGCAGCTTTCAAAATCTGCACCGGATTTCTGACTAGGTTTACGTGCACTTTATAATCCTCAAAGTGCCTTCCCATAAATTGTCTCTTTTGTGGGCTTTCTTGTGAAAGTCTTCCATGGGAAGGAGGGACTGCTGCGCGTGTCTCTGGATGGCAGAGCCGGGACCGTGAGGGGAGGTCAGAGGGAGGGGGCGCTCGCCGAATCTCAGGAAGGATTTCTTAATGGCTGGGGTTGCCTTTTCTCTAGGGCCAGTTGAGTTCCTCGCCACTGGACAACACAAAGTCTGACAGCATGGTGGTTAGCGCGGCACTATGTCATAAAAATGTAGTGCAAGCTGCATGTGGAATTTAAAATTTTTTAGTAGCCACATTAAGTTAAAAAAAAAACAGGTGAAATTAACTTAATACATTTTATTTAACTCAGTAATTTCCCAGTTTATCAATTCAAGATGTAATCAATATAAAAAATTAATGAGATACTTACATTCCTTTTTCCAAACTTAGTCTCTAAAAATCTAGTTTGTATTTTACACGTATCTTGCACATCAATTTGGAGGACTCACGTTGCAAGTGCTCCATAGCTAGTGGCCACCAGACTGGACCGCACAGAGTTAACATATCTTAGGTGGAAGGCTGTATCCCGTGATCTCTGAGAATCCTTACTGAACCTCAAAGTCCATGATGATGAGGCTGTTAATAATGCCCCAAAGAAAGTGTGTGCCGTATGCCAGCTTCTCATAGTATCTCGTTCGCTCCTCGCAGCACTCCTATGGGCTAATTAACTCTTCTCGCCCTCATTTAGAGATGAGCAAATTGAGAACAGTGAAGTTAAACAACTTGCCCGAAGTTACCCTTGCCTCTAGGCTACAATGTCTCAACTAAATGGAAGGGGCTTAACCTAAAAAATCTGGTTTGCTTCTGCCAGAGGGTTGAAAACAGAACCGGAACATCCTCGTTGCCCGCCTCTCTGAATGGAATGTTTCATATTTTTTTCTAAATAACCGAAGTGACATATGTCCTTTAAAAAACACAGACAATACTGAATTATACAAAATTAAAAATACACTTCGCACCTTTATTTTTCCTTCCTCGTAATCTCACCTTGATAATTTACTGCTGATAATGGTTTGGTGAGAATTTTTGCAATTTACACACAAACATGAACACATAACTGTATATCTTATTAACTACATAAACAGGATTGTACCACATATATTTTGCCAGGGTTATGATAGTCTCATAGAAAGCACTGGAAGCTTTCCAACTTTATGTTCTGAAATAGTTCATACAACATTTGGATTTTTAGTTTAAGTAAAGTTAGATAAAATTTGCCCATAAAATTACTTGAGTTTGATATTTTTTAGAGTTAGCTTTTTACTAACTTTTCCATTTCTCCCTTGATTATTAATTTATTAAAATTTTCTACCTCTTCTTGGGTAGATTTTGCTGATGTGTGTTCATCTAAAATTTATCTAACTTATTTCAAATTTATGGGTATAATATCTCTTAAAATACTCTTATTTTGCTGTTCTTTTAAATTTTTTTAAGTTGAATATGTAGTTCATATACTTGTAATTGTTTCCGTTAATAAATTTATTAAAACTATGAGTATTGTTCAGATTATTGCTTTGGCTACATCCAAAGATTTTTCTATTTAAGATCTTATTATTGTTTCCAAATAGTCTATGATTTAATTATTTTAATTTCTCTTTTTACTAAAAAAAATATTTAGAAGAATGTTTTGCATTTTCTATATGGTTATAATTTTTTTAAGACCATCTATTTGTTGCTAGTATCTAGTTTTATGGATTATAGTAAGTTTTAAAGAGTATAATCTGTACTTTCTAATTTTTGAATTATGAGATTATTTTTGTCATATGTGATTAATTTTAATAAGTGTTCCATGGGTGTTTACAAAATATATATATATTCCCCCTGTTGGTTACAAAATTCTTTATTAATTCAGGGCTTTTAATTATTTTACTCAAATCTTTCACATCCTTTTCTTAATTTTTGTCTTCTTGTGTCAATTTCTGCTTCTAAGATTATTCTTGAATTTCTAAAGTTTTTTCTGCCTTATATAGTTTAATACCATATCTTTCTGCAGAAAAAAATCATAGTTGTTTTATTTTCTTGGTGGTTTTTGTCATTTATCAATATGAAATGTCCTTCTTTATATGCTTTAATGCCTTTAGCCATGAATATCAGCATTACCGCTGTTTCTTTCTGCTAACATTTGTTCCTTATGTTATGGTCCATTCCTTTATTTTCATAATTTTTAGTCATTTTGTGTTGGATTGTCTTCTATTGTAAGGAGAATACAGCATGGTGTAGAGCCAGGCATGGTGGCTCATGCCAGTAATCCAGTGCTTTGGGAGGCTCAGGTGGGAAAATTGCTTGAGGCTAAGAGTTTGAGGCTGTAGTGAGCTATCTCTCATCACTGCACTCCAGCCTGGGTGACAGAGTGAGACCCTGTCTTTAAAAAACAGAAAAAGAAAGAAAGAGAAAGAAAAATTTTTAAAAAATACAGCATGGTTAAAAAAAAAAAAACTAGGAGTCTTTATTTCTTTATATGAGAATTTAACCCATTCACATTATTATGACAATTTATGTTTTGGGCTTCATTTCTGCCATCTTGTTTTTATGTTTTCTATTTATTATGTTTACATTTTGTTTCTCTTTTTTTTTTTTAACCCCTACTAGAACAAAATGTGTTGCTTTTTTTTTTTTTCTCCCTTTCCTGACTTTGCTAGATTGGTTGAATTTATTTGCTCATTCTGACTTCTATTGATGTTCCACTAGTAGCTACCCTCAAGCATAAATGTTTAAGAAATATACTAACACTATATTACTATAAATATATTATAGCATATTATATAAAATATATTATTATAAATATTATTATAATCATTACTATAAAAATTAATATATATAGTTTTTCCCCAAGTATAAGGGGCAAGCCATCTGGGTATTTTATGTCACCTACTTCCCTTCCTAGGAGCTGTTGTGTTGGTGGCCCAGGTCATGTTCTCCCAAATCCTGGAGATGTCATTTCAGGACTTCAACCTGGAGCTCAAAGCAGTGGCCCTGACTTCTCTAGTTAGCTCTCCCTTTGTAGTGTTTCAAGTTTTAAAATGAAATGTCACCATATACTAAGGGTATAATTTTTTAAACTTCTGCAGAAGTAAAGGTGGCAATCTCAAAAGTTTATTTACACATGGGATTATGGTCACATGTCTTTATATTATAAGAATTTGAATGTTTTTCAACCTTATTAAAAGTCATAAAAATATTTCAAAAATTAAATGGTAGTGCTGGATCAGAAAACACACACTTTTAGGATGTCTGATGAATTATCAATATTACAAAACTCATCAAGAATCTTTTGGAAGAAGGATTAGGGGTCCAGTGAAGAAATGGCGTTTTTGTCAACAGTAAACCTTACTTTTGGCTTCTTTTTCAAAAGCTCTGTATAGCTTTGCTCAGGAATAAATTTAATACAAATTGGAATTTTAGGTCCAGTTTGTTTTCCTTCTTTCTTTTTCCCTCCCTCCCTCCCTTCCTTTTGGTTAATTCCTAAAGTTCCAATGCATTTCATAATCATATTACCTGTAAGTATTTGAAGTTTTACTTGTTACTTTCCCTACAGCCCTTTCCCCTAGTTTCTTGATATCCTCAGGTAAGTTCTTGGAAGGGTGTTTGGACAGTGTGCCCAGCATCTGCTGCATGCCCTCCAGCCACTGTCCCCTCTTCTCCCCACTCTCCCCACTGTCCCCTCTTCTCCCCACTCTCCCCACTGTCCCCTCTTCTCCCCACTCCCCGGGGGGCTGATGTGTGTGGGCTGCGTTCCTGCCCCAGCCCCTGGGACCTGGAGCCATTGCCCAGCTCCTTGGCCTCTCCCTACACGTACCCACATGTATGTAAATAGATCCTTTGTAACCTCTCCTGAAAGCACCCTAATTTGAGTGTGCCGTTGTCCTCCCACTGCGAACCCCACACCGATCCTTCATAACAGACTCACTTTACTGATGTAAATAAAATCTTGGTAATCTAATGTCCATTTCCTTTCAGCCTATTGTGTCAGAATAGTGTTTTCTGCCTCAGTTTTCATCCAGTTGTGACCAAATCGTACATACAATTCTGAACACACAGTCGCTCTCAGGTTCCCTAGTAAGGTGCTGACAGGGAGTGAGGACATCTGTGGGCGCAGACCCAAAGGTGCTGCTTCCTTTCGGGGAACCCTCAGGACAGGGAAGGGCTCTGGCCTCCTCAGACTTCTGGGAGAAAGAGCCAGCCGCCCGCTGAGCCGCTGCGGGGCAAGGAACCCACCTGAGGACCCTGCGGATGGAGGCTGGATAACAACAGGCTGCTTCGGGCTGGACTCTTCTCTGGTTCTGCCTTCATGTCTCTTCATGTCAGTTCCCTTGGTGGCACCAGGCGGCTGTGAGGACAATAACAGAACACTGACAGGATGAGTTATGGCCCTCAACTGGTTGGTAAAGGAGACCTCGTGACAGTTGTCATGTGGGGCATTTAAACATATACATGGCATGTACCTGCGTTTGCTAACTAAAGACCTCACGACTATGTGGGCTTGAATACTTTCCTCCTAATCTTCTTGTCATTCTTCCCAGGGCCTGGGACGTAAGAAGATCTCCCCAGATAAAAGGCAGCACAGTTCAAGAAATTTCAATCTCTGGACATGTGACTACGTTCCATCTTGTCTTGACGGGTTTTCGAATAACCAGATATCGTACGTGTATAAGGAAGCTATGGTGGTCTCAGCTTTCAGACGCTTTCCAAGACATTACAGTGAGATATGGAGCACTTTCAGATTTATTCCCAAGCGAAGCTATACAGAGTTTTTGAAAAAGAAGCCAAAAGTAAGGTTTGCTATTGACAAAAACACTGTTTCTTCACTGGACCCCTAATCCTCCCAGGAGATTCTTGATGAGTTTTGTAATACTGATATTTCATCAGACATCTTAAAAGTATACGTTTTCTGATCCAGCACTACCATTTAATTTTTGAAATACTTTTATGATTTTTAATAAGATTGAGAAACATTCAAATTCTCATAAAATAAAGGTATATGTCCATAATCCCATGTGTAAATAAACTTTTGAGATTGCCACCTTTACTTTTGGGGGAGTTTTAAAAATTACGTCCTTAATACCTGGTTACTTTTTTCATATTAAAATTTCAGGCAATACAAAGCAAGTAAAATACCCCCACGATCGCACCCTATCTCCCATCCCTGTCTGTCCTCAGGCGTAAATTAACCGCTTGTTCTTAATCTGCATTTACAATCATATACATGTGCATAAAATTTTGAACATAAACTACGTTACAGAGTAAATAACATTCTACAACTTTCTTTTGATATTTCCAAAAATGTGTACTATCTTGGAGTTCTGCAGCATCAGTATGAATAGGATGATTTTTTAAAAACTGCTGTCCTTTATTCCCAACTGCAGATGTACTACATTTTTAAAATTTATCTTCTTATTAATGGACATTTGAATTGTTTCTGATTTTTTGCTGTCAGACACAATGCTGCAGGAACATGCTTGAGCCACCTCTTTGAATACCTGTTCATGTGCACCTCTGCAGTAGACTCTGAGAGTTACCCTGTTAGTGCTGAGTTGGACAACATGCACAGTTAAAGTTTTAGTAGTATAAATATTGCAAATTGCCTTTAAAAAAGACTGTACCAGTTAAACTCGCACCAACAGTGTCTGTGAGTTTCTGTTTCTCCTCCCTCACACTATCACTTAGATATTTAAAGATGTTTAAGGGGGAAAAAAGGTACCTTGTTATTTTCTTATTTTGCATTTCTCTAATTATTGGTGATGTTGAGTATCTTTGCCCATGCAGTGGCCATTTATATTTTCCTTCTGTACACTGAGCAGTGTCACCATCACTCTATACCAACATTTTTTTTATATTTTTCCTATACGTAAATTTTAGAATAAATTTGGAAATTAAAAAAGAAACAACACATTGCAAATTTGATAGAAAGTTCCTCAAATGTATTAATTTATGGGAAAACTGACATCTTTATACTCCCCGTTTGTTCTGATCCTATTTTATATTCTTCAGTAAAGCTTATAATTTTCCTCACATAGGTCTCATGTGTTTCTTTTCCATGTTTATTCCTGCGTATTTTGAAATTTTGTGTTTATTTTGAATTTGTTTTAAAGTTGTACTTTTAGATTGGTTTTTGCTGATGTATAAAAAAGCTATTGATTTCTGTATGTGAATCTTCTATTTGGCCACCTGGCTAAACTTCTAATAATAAATAAATAAAAGAAAGAAAATTTTAATAATCTTTCAGTTTATTTGCTTCTGGATTTTCTATGTGGACAATTATATTGTTTACAAGAGTGATACTTTTATATCATTTCTGACATTTATACTTTGCCCCTTCTCTGTCTCATTGCATTGGATAGGACCTGAGGTACAATTTCAATATTGTCACAGATTACTAATACATATCCTTATTTTATGTCTGAATTTAATGGGGCTCCTTCTAATGTTTCACCGAGAAATGGACTTTTGTTGTAGGTTTCAGATAAATAAGGTTTATCTAGCTATCTTGTGTTCTTAGTTTCCTAAGAATTTTTGTCCCTAGAATATTTTTAAAGTATATGTACATGGGAAAAATTTCAAAGAATATAAAAATAAACCATGAGAAAAGAATCTTCCTCATGTCTCTGACTTCTTCCCCCCCATTTTTTCTTGCAGGGTCAGCCCTATTGACAACATTTGCATGTGTGTTCTTCCCCGGGTCGTCTGTGCACAGGTTCTGTCTTTCTTACACACACACACACACACACACACACACACACACACACACACACACACACTCACACACCATTCCATTGTTGCTTTCTACCCCCGCCAACTGCACTTACAAATGTGTCTTTGAAATCATTCCGTATCAGTTCTATGAAATCCACTCTTTTCTTGGAAAAACACGGCTGGCTCTGGCTATTATTCATAGTTATCCGTTACGTGGATGCGCCGCAGTTCCTGCGATGTTTTGACGGCCACTTAGGCAGTTTTCAGTGTTTTCCTACTATGAACAATCTGGAATAAACACCTTTATAGGTAAACATTGCCCTTCATCTGTGAGCATTTCTATATGGTGAACTCATAAAAATAAAAATGTCCAGTTAAAGAGTATGTGGATTTAAAATTTGAGTTCATGTTGTCAAATTTTCTAAAATAGGTTGGGCTCCAGCCTGCAGCTTCACCCACAAGCAGGGAGAGGGGAGAACACCTGTTTCCCACACCCTTGCATTATCAAACTTCTCATCTGCCAATTTGTTAGCCTAAAAATGGTGTTGCGTTTCCATTTGCATCTCTTTCCTCGCATGTGTGTGTGTGTGTGTGTGTATGTGTGTGTAGCTATTGAAAAGCCTCTTGTATTTCTTTTGCTGTGAACTGCTTATCTGTATCTTTCACTAATTTTTCTATTGGTTTGCCTTATTCTTTAAATCACTTGTATGATTTCTTTACATATTAACGTATTGAGCCTGTGTATCAATATGCTCCAAGTGTTTCATTTTTTGTTCTTCTTTAATATACATAAATTAATAGACTTTGTTTTTCAGAGCAGTTCTAGGTTCACAAAAAAATTGAATGGAAATTAGAGTTCCTGCGTGCCCACTATCCCCCCCACACCCCTCCGTTTCCTGTTATTAACATTTTGCATCGGGGTGGTCCATACCACATTTTTAGCCCTGCATATTTTTTAATGCAGTAGAATGAATGAATCTTTTCTTTAATGGTTTCAAGATTCCCCGCCTTGCTTAGGACTTCCTTTGTTTGAGATTATTAAGAAATTCTAAGAGTTTGTGTTATGGTTCTTATTGTTGATATATGGAGTGACATTATAGCAAAGAATATTCTGACATTTATTGAGATGATCATATATATTTTCTCTATTAATATGCTAAGGTGATGAAATATATTAATGGATTTTCTAATCTTCAACCATTCTAGCATTTCTTGGAACAAACTCTTTTGGTTATGATGTATTATTCTTTGATAACATTATAATAATAATATACTATTATTCAGGCCTTGATATGCAAATATTTTATTTGCTGTCTTTTTGTTTTCAAACTTATGCAATTATTATTTTAGATTTGAGTTAAAGGCAGATTTCTCTCTTTTTCTATCCCCTGACACTGCTTATATATAAATTGCAAATATTTATACAATTTGCACAAAAGCTCCCGCTGGACTGGGTGCTGTGTAGGTGCAGATCTTTGGTTGTCTTTTCAGTTTATTTTTTCTGAGATTGGTCTGTATGGTGCTTCTATTTTTTTCTTTTTCTAATTTTGGTCATTTTTATTTTTAAAGGAAATCATTTGTTTTTATTGATTTTTAAAGTTATAGTGTTTTAATATATTCTCTTTAAGGCTTTAAAGTCATATCCTGTCCTTTGACATTTTGAATATTGTTTACATGCCTTTGCGCTGTTCACACATTCTACATTTTTGTTGTTTGCTTTTGATCTCATTAATTTATGCTTTTTTGTTTACTAATTCCTTTCTTCGGCTTATTTTGATTTTCTTTTTCTAGCTCCTCAAGGTGAAGGCTTAACTCAGTTATTTTCAGTTTTCTTATAAATGTGGTTAAGGCTACATCTTTGGAATGGCACTATACACACACCCACACATACATACACAAATACACACACCCACATATATACACACACATACGCATACACATACAAATATGTATACACACATACACACAAACACACACTCGTATACACATATATGCCCACCCGTGCCCATACACATACACATATACACACAAACACATGCACACACATACACATGAATGCACATATACACATACACACAAAACACATGTACACACAAATATGCATGCATATGTACACACATGCACATGTACATACATACACGGATGTATACACACATTTACATACACATCATAGTGCTCTCCTTATTGTTCATTTTCGAATAGCTTGTAATTGCTTTCTTTTTTAATCCAGGAATTATTAAGAAGTGTATTTTAAAAGTTACTCTTTCAGTGTTATTTTTCATTGTCAGTATTTTATTAATGATTAAGTAATTTCTGCATTGTGGTCAATGATTAAGATTTGTGTGACTTCTGCTTACTGAAAATTTAAAAATGTTCTTGTGGCTTAATACATGGTCAATTTCTATGAGTATTCTACATGTATTTGACAAGGATGTGCAATCTCCCTTTTAAATAAATTTATTTTGGGAAATAATTATAGGGCCATAGGATGTTGTCAAAAAATTATACAAAGAGGTTCTGCCTACTCTTCACCCAGTTTTCTCTAATAACATCTGGCATAACTGTGGTATAATAGTGTGTTCACTTTCTATTGTTGTGTGTCTTAGTCCATTTTCTGTTGCTTATAAGAGAATACCTGAAACTTGGTAATTTATAAAGAAAAGGAATTTATTTTTTTCAGTTATGGAGGCCAAGGGGCCACATCTAGTGACAGCCTGGTGTGGCTGATGGGGACTCTCTCTGCAGAGTCCTAAAGCTGTGCAGGGCATCACCTGGGGAGGGGCTTGGCATGCTAATGTGCTCTCTCAGGTCTCTCTTCCTCTACTTATAAAGCCACCAGTTCCCCTCCATGATAATCCATTAATCCATTAACTCATTAATTTATTAATGCATGAATGGACTAACCCATTCATGAGGGCAGAGCCCTCATGACCCAATCACCTCTTAAAGGCCCTACCTCTCAATATGGCCACATTGGGGATTAAATTTCAACATGTATTTTGGAGGGGACATATATTTGAACCATGGTGCTATGTAACAAATTACTGCCAATGTAGTGGTTTATAACAACACTATTTATTAGCTCACAATTCTGTAGGTTAGAAATCTGGGCACATGTGGTGAGGTCCTCTGCTCAAGGTCTCACAAGCTAAAATCAAGGTCCATACTGTGCTCTCATCTGAGACCCAAGGTCCTCTTGCAAGGTCCTGTGTAGCTGTGGCACAGTTCAGTTCCTTGTGGTTGGAGGACTGAGATTCCACGCTTCCTCTTTGGCTGTGAGAAGGGGCCCTCTTAGCTTCTGTAGGGTGCGGCATTGCTTGCTCCATGGCTCCCTCCAACTCCAAAGCCACAATGGAGAACCTGGCTCCAATTGCCTCTCATGCTGTGCAATCTCTTTTACCTTTTCAAGGGATCACCTTATTAGGCCTGACCCACCAGGGATAATCATATTTCAAGATCAACTGATTTGGGATCTTTAATACATCTGAAAAATCCCTTTTGCCTTAGAACATAATCATGGGATTGACATGGTGTCATATCCACAGATGCTGCCCATACTCAGGGCAGGAGATTATGGAAGAGT